ATATATATATATAATAATAATAATAATAATAATAATAATAATAATAATAATAATAATAATAATAATTTGTATGATATAAAATTGCTTTTGAATTTTCAGATCTAATTTTGATAAAAATAGGCCTTATTATTATTGAAAATATTTTGATATTAGTGTTCTATTGGTACATTTATTAAAATAAATTAGTAAGGATGAATTAATACCATAGTCTTTTAAAGCAGCTAATTTACTGTTGCACCCCTCGAAATCTTTGAAATTATTCAGTTGCCATTCCTATGGGTATCGCAGAAATAAACTGCTCCTACAAAAGCCTGCCGAGATCAGAGACGGTGGTTGCGCGAGGAACCGGAGAACCGAAATATCCCGGCGGTCTCTTGGGCACCGCCGTCAATCGACGGAATCACTATCTGAGTACGAAGCAAGGGAATGCGGTCGGGATTGAGCCGACGGCGGTCGGGATTGAGCCGACGCGGTTGATCATCCTCTTCCGCCGCCGGGGGTTGGAGACCGCCGGGATAGATGGGGAACTGTCTTTCTTCCAGGGATCCTAGGGCTCGCCCCAGCAGGAAATCAGGTGAGCTGATCTTTTTTTTTTTATTTTGCTTTCTCTTTGCATTTTTTTATGGAATGCTTTTAAAGGCTAAAAGGATTATGGCTGTGGGGATCGTTGTACCATTATTTGTTTATTCATGTTTTCTTGGTTTCTGAGTTTGAAATCCGTGCGTTATGCATCATCTTCGAGGGGAAGAGGAATGTAGAGAAGGGATCTGCGAATTTTGTGGCTTTGTGAATAGTGTGAATGTGTTGATATCGTAATGTAGAAGGAATTACAAAAATCTAGAAGGAAAAATGTTGGAAAGATGGTAGAGATTGTGAAACTTGATACCCTGACAGAAGTAATGCGCGGCTTGGGTGAATTGTAAAAATTGAACGCCAAGTACAAAATGATTCTATGCTTGAACGTATTCATGGATGGTAGAATGGTAATGCATATAATATTTTAAGCTGCTATTTCATTATGTGCTTATCCTGGGACGATCTAGAATATTTGTTTGGAGGATTCACTTACATGCCATACATTTTTTATGCATAAATTTTTAACACCTAAAGTTTAATGTTTAGCTGGTGTCATAATTACATCAAAACTTGCGCACGAAGATACATGTTTTACTTTAAATCAATCAGTATTAATGGTACTTTTTTATGTGATGTTAAAGATTTAAGTGTTATATAAGTAAAGATTAATGTTTAGATGTAAGATGTGTAAATACATAAGAATTGTGTGGTATATAGGTAAATCCTTCTTATTTCTTTTTTATGTTAGGGCATTATGAGGAAAAATAGGGCTATCAAGCATGAGCATTTCTGAATTTTGTTCATGCTTATGTTAGATGCATGTCTAACACATATACAACTTCGACACAGTTTGGCAGGTGCTCGACATGCCATAAAATGTATCAGTATTTTCTTGTTTGAAATTTGGACTCGACAAGGTAGTTACACCACAACGACTTCACGGAGATAACGTTGGACATGGGAGACATGAGACACCTTTAATTAATAAGGGAAATGCCCCTATTGTCCCTATGCCGTGCCCACCCATATTGTTAACCATGTTGAAGACTGCTTTTCTTAGGGTAAGTAATTGATGCCTATTTCGGGATCTAAACAAGCACCTTAATGAAGTACGATAGGCTACATGGCTGTCTAAATTTGATGCACCCTTGACAAATATTTGTGAAAACAATGAACATGCAAAGCAGCTTACTTTCAAGTCTTCCACTAAAGTATAGGTTGTTTGAAAGGATTCGTACAACCTTCATATGATTTTCTATACACAAATAGATTCATGATTCTTGACCAATGAAGTAAATTTTGGGATATACTTGATCATTTTGAGGTACTTAAAAATTATGGATTCAGGAGTGCATAGAAAGGAATTTCTATGTTCATGTGATACTCAACTAAAGTGTTACAAAAGAAGAAATTTATTTTATATAGTTGAACCAATTCGTGCACTCTTGCCTTCGCTATGCTTATATTACTTCAGCACTTGTCTCAAAGTGATGTTAGAACTTAAAAAAGAACGTGTAAAAAATTTAATTTATCTTCAACATTAATTCTGTTTAAGTAGTTATGTTACACCTGTAGATAATATGCACCCTCTTTGTCCTCGTTCATGCACTATAATAGAAAGCTTTGCAAAGTTCTATGCTAACTTAATTGCAGTTTGTTTATGTATGAAATATTGAATTTCTTCTACAAATATGCCAATAAATACTTTAAATAGGAGTTTAATATTCTACCTGTAACCTAATACTGTAGTTCAACCATACTGTTATGAATAACTTGGTTTTCACCGCCACACTATATCGAAAAAATTTGGGTTAACTTAATGCATTGCATTTCCGAGTGAGATCAATATCAGCAAAAGTTTATCTGAGCTTTTTAATGTTGACTACTTAAGCTTGGTACCATGAAATGATGATTACATATACTTTTAGAAAGCATGCTTACTGTACTATTCAATTTGTTTTTTTCTTGCTACTCAGATATAAATGTTTTTTTTCTCTTAATTTCTTTTTCATTAGATGGAGGCGTCAAAGCAATTGTCCCATCAAAAAGTAATTCACTTGCACCGTCAAGGAGCAAGACTGCTAGGCCATCAAATAGCATAGCTGTAGCAGCATCAGAAAATGAAGCCACTGCACCTCAATATAGGAAGGCGGTCATACCATCAGTGAAACCGTCAACTGCATCGTCACTTTCTACATATAAAGATGCAGGGAGATCTGGTTATGTGGAGAATGAACCAGTGATGAATGGGGATATGAAAGATTTCCAACAGATAACCACTTTTGGAAATGTCATCATATTTACATATGATGAGCTGAGATTATCAACTAGGAACTTCCGTAAAGATTTGATTCTTGGAGAGGGTGGCTTTGGGCTTGTCTATAAGGGAGTTATGGATGAGAACATCCGGCCAGGTCTGAAGCCCATGTTTGTTGCTGTTAAGGATCTCAACCGAGATGGCCTTCAAGGTGATAGGGAGTGGTTGGTGAGTTTCTTATACGATTCATGGTTATCGTTGCAATCTTTATAGTATGCTGAATATATATTATCAGCTCCTCATATTTTTTAACTGGAAAAGATTACAATAGAGAAAACTATTAAAATGGTCTCCTGATTATTTGCACGAAGTCATTTTATAAAAGTGCCAAATTAGTCCCTATATTCTTTTAATATGTGTTAAAATAGGAACTATTTTATCTGCCATTAAAAATGCCTTGAGACTAAATTGACACTTTTATATACTCTGGGACTAAAAGGAACCCATATAAATAGTTAGGAAATTATTTTGACACTTTAATCGATTACAATAATCCGAGATGGATGAACTTCGAAACTGCTGACAATATTGTAGTATAAGATTTGTTAAGTTAATTTTGTAGTCTTAACCCTACCACAATTTTTTTCGATACAGTTCTTCTATCATCAACTAAACATGAAGCTGACCGAGATCTAATGGAAGTCCTTGGTTTTGAACATATTGTTGTTCAATTGTTGCATTTTCTAGTTGAGGATGTTAAATTGGTTTTTTCTTAGAACTTAGCTTTTTTCAAAGATGCTTGTGTCGAAGAACATGAATTTACGGATTTTAAATGTTTTGCAGGCTGAAGTCAATTACCTTGGGCAATTGAGTCATCCTAATCTTGTCAAACTCATTGGATACTGTTGCCAAGATGATCACCGCATGTTGGTTTATGAGTATATGGCTCTTGGTAGCCTAGAGAGGCATCTTTTCCAACGTATGTTGATAAATTCTCAAGATATTGTAACAGAGTGTTGTTGTTATTAAAAATTCTTTATAAATTAAACGGCTTCTTTTAACATTCATATTCAGAGAATGGTTTCTCCTTGGCATCAGCACTTTTATTGAATCCCGCAAGCATTTTTTTTCAAGTTAACCTACAAAAACCTTTGATACTGAAGGGAGAATGTGTAGGTGTATATCATAAGTATAAATGATGTCTGCAAATAAAAATAATTGCAAAAGATTGAATTACAATATTTTGCACTACGATTCAATATTTTGCACTACGAGTTCAAGACAAATAGGTTTTTGTGCTTGCTGCACACTGAGAAGATAGGAAAAAAATTTTCATGCTTTATGCATAATGGTTGAACATTTGGCCAGCTTCTTTAGCAAGATGAAGAGAAACTTTCACATACAAATTCTATCTACTCCAAAACCTTGGGAATGCCATTTGTATGTTTAAAACATATGTTTTTCGCTGTTAGCTCTTATCTAACTCTCTAATCAGGGGTACCTCAAACAATTGGATGGGACACTAGGATAAAAATTGCTTTGGATGCTGCGAAAGGGCTTGCTTTTCTTCATGGAGCCAAAAGACCCATAATCTATCGTGACTTCAAGACCTCCAATATCTTGCTTGATGCGGTTTGTTTCTTAAAATGTTTATTACAATTTAAATCTTCTTTCTACAACTTGTTATTAGCGATGGAGACGGTTCTATTTCTTTGAGATGAGGTTATAGTAATTCTCGTGGCATCTAAAATGTACACTTTTGAAAATGAGCAAGTTATGAATTTGAAAATTGTTTGATCTCTTGTAACTATATAGAGGAGACTTGTGTTTAGTGCTCAAAGAAAGAACGAATGGGGAGAAAGAAGTGCTCTAAATTCTATAGTAATTGATAATGAGATGGTAGAATTGCACTGTAGGATTACAATGCTAAGCTTTTCTTGTTATTTAATTCTTTTCTTTTCTTCCACTGCAGGATTACAATGCTAAGCTTTCAGACTTTGGCCTTGCAAAGGAGGGACCAATAGGTGATAAGACACACGTTTCTACTAGAGTAATGGGTACCTATGGATATGCAGCTCCAGAGTACGTGATGACCGGTATATTACTGAACAAAAGTAGCTATCAGATGTTATTTTGTTCTCTTTTGTGGAAAATATGGAAAGATTTAACTGATTGGTGGTAAGGACAGGGAAATACAGACATGATCTTATCTTTGAAAACATGTTGCTTCGATCCCAATATTAAATAGTAAACTCAAATGCCCCCTCCATGTAATGATTGATCCCACCTAAGGATTTATTTATTTTGAAATTTATCAGATCCCAAAAACCTTCCTACTCAAGTATTCTAGATATTCTATTTTCTATACTTTTCCATGCAATAAAGCCCAATCTTTCCTAATCATTACATCCCATTTGTTTACAAGTCCTTGTAATATTGTCTTGGAAACATATTATCTTATTTGTCCCTGTACTTAAGATTGATTTTATAAGCCAAATTAACATCTATATCATGGTTCCCACCATTATGATCTCTATGTTGTGAAAAAACGACGACAATAAAGAGAAAAATCGGATCGAGAAAAATCGCAAAATAGAAAACAACGAAACACACAGATTTGCGTGGTTTGGCAAATTGTCTGCGTCCACGAAGCTGCAGAAGATTTTATTAGCTTGAGGAATTACACCTGCTGATCACCTCGATGATTACAAGAAATCACTATTTCCCTCTCCTCTCCTCCTCTCCTTCTCTCTCTCTACCCGAGAGCTTCAAACCGAAGTAAACCAGAAGAAGAATCTGGAAAGCTACAAATATCGAAGAGGGATAACAAAGGGAGCTAGCATGTCTATTTATTAATTTCATCATGCAATTAGGTCCATTAAAAAATTAATTAAATAACTAATGAAACGCATTAATTATTTCCTCTTCTCTTCTGTAACAAATCATAGAAGGAATTAAGAACAATTAATTTAGTAATTAATTTCGAGTATCAAATCTAATTTGCTCTCAAACATGAGAAAATGCAAATTTGAACAGTGGATCGGTTTTCATATTCGCAACAAATCTCCCATTTGGAGACTGGTATACTGGTTGAATCATCCACTAGCTGCGTCGCTCTTTTTCTTCAAACGTGATATCATCCAACTCTGCAACTCAAAACCCCGGTCTTCATGCTAGAAGATCAGTTGAAGTCGAGCACAACTTCAGTTCCTCAAGAGTAACACCCTTATTTGACATATCATCGTCAACATACCTTTGTAACTCCAAGCTCCTTCCTGGGTTACTCATGTTTTCGCTTACAACTCCCACTGCATGGACAATATCCTGCCTCTGCTGAAAACCCTTTTCAACAAGTCTAGTCTTGTACCTCTTATTGTCATCAAGCGCAGTCTTCACCCGGTACACACACTTGTTGTGCAATTTTTTTTTCTCTGGTGGAAGTTCTATCAGCTTCCAAGTCTGATTCCTTGACCTGACAGGGAAGCCATTTTTTCCGGTTGATTTCCCAGTAACGGAAGATGAAATTTCTTCTCATAGAGGTAGTCATTTATCTGCATCATCCAGTAACCAAAATCTGTATCATTAAACTTTTCGATCCCTGATGTCATTACATCATCTCTGGTCATCACTTTCCCACAGATTCGAACCTGAGCTCTGATACCAGTTATTGTGAAAAAACGATATCAATAAAGGGAAAAAATTGGATCGAGAAAAATCGCATAACAGAAAACAACAAAACACACAGATTTACGTGGTTCGACAAATTGCCTGCATCCATGAAGCTGCAGAAGATTTTATTACCTTGAGGAATTACACCTGTCGATCACCTCGATGATTACAAGAAATCACTCTTTCTTTCTGCATCATTCTCTCTCCTCTCTTCCTCTCCTTCTCTATCTCTCTACTTGAGAGCTTCAAACCGAAGCACACCAAAAGAAGAACCTTGAAAGCTGTCAATGCCGAAGAGGGATAACAAAGGGAGCTAACATGCCTATTTATTAATTCCATCATGTCATTAGGCCAATTAAGAAATTAATCAAATAATTAATGAAATCCATTAATTATTTCTTTTTTTTCTTCTGCAGCAAATCATAGACGAAATTAAGAACAATTAATTTCGAATTTCAAATCTAATTTGCTGCCAAACAAGAGAAAATGTCAATTTGAACAGTGGATCGATTTCCAAATACGCAACACCCTAAACTAATACTATGTATCAGAAGTCGCACTCTTATTCCTATTACAGTCTTTATGATGACATTAAAATGGTGATGTATCATTGTTGCATGCTAGAAAATTCTCATCGGCAGAGGAATCTTATACTTTGCTCAATATAAATTTTTAACACACAGATAGAAATGTAAGAGACAACCATAATTTTTAAGTGAAAAAATCTTGAAAAAAAAATCAAGGGGCCTATCCCAAGAAAAGTCAAAGGTCTCTCTTCTCCCATCTTAGGGAAGATGTGATTATAAGATGATGTTGGTAGCTACAATAACAGTAGTTGACTACAAAAGTTAGTATACTTTGATGGTCAGCGGTGAACTTTGGAGACTTGCGACAACAACAGAGATTTCAAGAATCAAGCTTTAGTAGTCAGCTTACTCTTCTTTTTTTTATTATCCCCCTTCAAGTGAAGAATGTATAGGCCTATTTATAATTTTTGAGAGGAAAATTTTAATAAATTTGACCAATATTCAAAAACACTCGGTCGAACAGTTCACTTTGATTCCTTGAACACATAATTTTTTCAACATTTAAGTGTCTTAATGACACATAATTGAATGATCTTGGACATGTTGGATTCCTGTTGTTGAGACACCCGTTTTGGCTACAAATACGCTAAATTTCAAGATCATTTAGTCTTCCAATTGATGCACCAAAGCTTTTAAGTGTTCAATCAAGGCCTATTTGAACTTGGATCGGATCACTTTCAGTGTCATTGGGTTTGTTTAGTCGAGACACTCCGTTTTATACAAATTTGTTGAAATTGGGATATTGATGATCTTGAACTTGAATTCAAAATGTTTCTAGCTCAAAACGCATCAAGATTAATGCCTGATGATAAAAAATTGTTGATGACACATTAATCATTAATCTTTTTCTTTTTATCAATGATACTTATGATGCCTAATGATGGTCAAATCTAATTCTTCATATTGATCATACCATGATATTCATGCATTTCTCATTGTCGATATATACAAATATCTTGCTTACTCTCATCAAACACATTGTGTCTCTGAACGATCCTACCATAATGGTCATGCACACTCTTATCATTGATACAACACTCATCTTAAGCCAAATCACTTTGATCCATCTTCTCATCAAGTCACCAATTAATCAAGAACTCTGAAATGTTTAATGATCTGCATGTTAAACTATGTCTACATGCTAAACTAGATTGGAACCCTTTTTTCAATCACAAAATTGCCCAAATCTCTATTTATTCTAACTACCTTTACTTTCCTGTGTGATTGAGCTTAAATGTAAGCGTGTGACACTTGAACCCAAGTGTAAACATGAGCATGAGGTTGACCCAGAGCTTATACATAAACTATGCTAGAGAATAATGATGCACCTGAACTATGGAGCTTTCTGTTATTGTTGTTGCTCCCTAATCTTTATAGATGGAAATAAATTTTTTTTTTCTCTGCTTTCTATATTGCTACCCTCTCCATCATAGGTTGACTTTATTTTTCTGCTACTTCTGCCATCATTATTGCTACCCGCTTCACCATAGGTTGAGCTTATTTTTCTGCCACTTCTACAACCATATGTCACATAGGTGCTCCTACACTAAAGCATAGAGCATGGAGATGTCTAGACTTCCTACCAATTGTTGATATGGTTGCACAATTGCCTCTTTTCCTTGCGTTATTGCTTAATTCCTCATTCATATGGGTCACTCTAAAATTACCACCAATACCTCATCAATACTCTTATAGGATTCTTGCCCATGTTTAAGGCTGCCAATGATCGAAATCGGCTCAAAGTCGGCTCGTGGCTCATTTTATTCAATATCGAGCAAGTTTGGCTTGAAATTGAATAGAGCTTGATCCATATTAAATAGAGCTATTTGGATATGTTTTACTAAAAAATTGATATATATATATATATATATATATATACAAAAATTCAAAAAATATATATAACTAATGTTATTTAAGAGTATTTTTAAGAAAATTTCAGTTCGAACAAATTTGATTTGTGGTCTTGGGTCATAGCTCAGCTCTCGTACTTTGATCTGATATTTCTCCGAGATGAAATTTCGAATTGATTTTCAAGCATTTAACGATCTCAAAATTAAATTCTCAGCCTTACCCATGTTACTGACCTCATTGTGATGAATGATGATATCCTACTCTGAAGCCTCCAGATTCGCCACAAAGCGATAAGAAATTGATACCTTTGTTGATCTCTTATGTTGGCTGTCTGCCAATTCTATGATCGTCATCAGATTGTCGCACTTGCTTATTTTGATTTTACTTGAGAGTTACATGAGCTTATTCCCAAGATGCCTAGTACACATGAAATCAAGATTTATCAAATCCATATGTTAAATCCAGAATTGTGTTTGTTTTATTTAAGATTAAATCCCATTAAATTCATTTGACATATTTGGCATGTAATTTCAGAATTTAAAAGCCGAGGAACTCTTTGTCCACTCTATAATCATTTTCTTCCTCAAAACTTTATTTTTTTACTCTCCTTGACTTCGTCTCCAATGCCTCCATTGGAAACTCCCCATGCAGAGCCCTCATACGGATTGCTTTCATCTCATTGGCTTCTCCTTTGTACCTTTCATCCTTTTTCTTCTCGCGGTAAGACCACTCTCATAAATGACCTTGAGAAAAAAAATTGATTTTAGGATTTGTGTGGAAAAAAAGTGAAATCGTGTAAGGGATGATGTCAGATTCAGAAGAACCAGAATTATCCGTTCGAAGTCGACGATGGAATGAGGTGATCACATCGAATTCTTCCCTTTCGGGGCACTATGCGACCAGGGAAGTGACAACAGGAGATGTGCAGGTGTGTTTTTCTTCCTATGTTTGTTAAATCCATGTACATGATGGATTTAATAAATCCGGATTTACGTTGAAACAGAGAGTAAATTTGGATTTAATAGAGCGCCGGATTTAATTTAGCTCTTTTTTGTATTTGGTTGGATTTACGTTAAATTCAACCATAAATCCTATTAAAAGTATACTGCAAAACACCCCCTCAGTGGGCTGAAGTGGGACATAATTATGACATGCAATAACCCAACTATTTTGGACTCATTATAATCAGATATCAGCATTTGTCATATTAGAATTATTCATAAAATAAAGCTTTAATCAAAGCACTGCTTTTATTTACGATCAGCTGATATTTTTTTCCATTTCTGTTTTAGTTAGTTATTGTTATATCTTTAGATGTCAAAAAATTCTCTTTATAAGGAAATGCCTCCTATTAAGGAAATCAATATTATGAAGCTTGAAATCTGTGAAAAGCATATCCTATTCCCTCGTCATATTTCTTTTCTAATGATGAATCCCCAATTCAATTTTGCATAATCTACGTTATTCTGGATCTGGTTGTTTACCACTAGAATCTTTTGATACTTCACAGCATACACTACCAAATGCACACATAATAAGAAGAAACAATAGTAGAAAACAACGTTGATGTTCTTTATTTCATGTTATAATGCATTACAAGCTTTCAATCTAATCCCTCATGGGCTGTTTCCTCACCCAGGCCATCTTACCGCAAGAAGTGACGTCTATGGTTTCGGCGTCGTACTCCTCGAGATGCTTGCCGGTGGCAAAGCACTCGACAACAGCAGGCCCGGACGCGAGCACAATCTTGTTGAGTGGGCTCGACCCCTCCTCATCCGCCACAATAAGCTGCTGAGAATTATTGATCCCAGAATGGCAGGCCAATACTCTCATAAAGCTGCACAGATAGCAGGAAACTTGGCCTACCAGTGCCTCAGCGAAAACCCGAGGGGCAGACCCTCCATGGCTGAAGTGGTAAAGGCCCTGGAAACCTGCAAGAGCACAAATGAACAAAATACGTTGCAGTTCAATAATAAACCTCCTACTGAAGCTTCTAAACGTGAATCAAAGACACACAAAGATGTTAGGAGTCTTGTCATGAATGGAGGAAGAGATGGTATGCTGCTTGATAAAATGGACAGAAGGGCTAAACGCCGGTGCACGAGCGATCCACCGATGGATTTTGATCAGCCTGAGATGTCTCCAGATCCTCGGTTCAGTAAGCAGAGGGGCAATCTAACTCCTGATCATTACCACAAGCCATATTATGTATAAACTCTTGAAAGGTATTTTTTAATGTAATTTATCATTACACAGTTTGTGCTTGAATTTTTTTGAATTGTTCAAGGTCCAGACATAATCCATGACCATTTTGATTATTGAATTTGATTAGTTTTGCCGGATTTTTGCATCATTATGCATAATGAGAGCATTGAAATTGAGCTGGTTCTGATATAGGAGCTTTATGTGAAACAATGATGAATTGCTCGCCCACTTAACCAAATTGAGAAAAGAGAAGATATAAACTAATGCGTTGTTTTTTATGTAAATAAACCATAATCAGTCATGTCTACCCATAATCACATCCCACTAATCCATAGTCAATGAATACAAACAATGCTATTTGTGGCATATTCTGAGATCATTTTCCAATTTCCTACTCCGATCAGACAAATTTGACGCTTTTGCGAGAAAATAATTCAGCATAATCAAACTTTTGCGGATGCTGCTGATATTAAGTCTGAAAGCCAAATAACCTGAACGATTGAGAATATGCTGCGGTATGCTGAACAGGTTGATAATGCAATAATTAACTCCCTTTGGATTCTGTGCCCAGAGTGCTCTGTAAATAGAAATACAATAGATTCCCAAGGAAAAACACATAATATTTCTCGCTCACGCTCCTATTGTTTCTACTCTCTTCTCACTTCATCACTCACTGCTCTCCGTCTTCTCTCGTCATCTCCATGTATCATCTCTTTTTTATGTCCAAACCGATAGTCTTTTATCACTTCTAGAGCTCGGAGCAACCCAAAATTGCAGACTGTCGTTCCACATGACAGGGCGACTAGGTGCTGGCCTGCGGCTTTGGCTTCATGCGTCAAGGACTAGTACCAGGGCGCCTAGATGCCTAAGATTGGCATAGGTCACCGATTCAACACTTAGGCACTCCGTTTCAGCTCATTTTCTAAACTTGCCTAATCACCCGTATACTACACAAAACACTAAAATACCCATATAAAACATAAAAATAACATAGAACAACATATATTTGATACACATTAAATTTTCCCAAATTTAAATATGATTTATCCTCTAAGTAATTCAATATCTAAACTTAGAATCATTGAAAATTCATAGTAGATTGTAAATTATGAGTGGTAAGATTACATTTTCTTTGAAATCTCTAATAACTGAACATACATTGTATGAATACTCTTTATGTATAATTACCCCTAAATCATTTATGCTTGATTGACTAAAATAAGATTATTTTTCAAATATATATTGTTGAATCCTAAATTCTCCTTTGCGGTTCACGCTTCGAGAGTTAGAACCGACAAAGAAGAGATCAGGAAGTAGAGAGTGAGTCAAGAATTCACTCTAGAGAGAACAATGAGGGGTTCGTTTACTTGTCATTTTGTCTCCTATGTATAGGGACGTATATGTAAAATTACAAAAACGATGTAATATGGAAATCATTCTTAATACAATTGATACTCTAATTAATTGTATAGATTTTATACTATATATATACTAAAATTGAGTTATAATATGACGATAATTGGTTGGTCGGCCTGCTTGAATTCGGTCGGATGAGTGGAGACTGCACCTTCTAATATAAATGTCGGTTGGGTTAGGCGCTCGATCGAATGACAATCTCGCCTGTCGTGGTAAAAGCGGGTTGGTCGACTAGCTTGCGATCAAAGGCTATTGCATTCGTCTTGATCGGTTTGGGATCCGCCAATTGAATCTCTTGCAATAGTGTATCAATCAATTCTGATCACGTGGTCGCTTGTTGGACGATAGTATGCCTTAATTGTCTAACCGCCATTGGGGTCGTTCGATTACTCTGAGATTCACGTTGACAGTTTTTCTGTATACATATATATTTCAAATTGACTAATCAAATAAATAAAATTAATTCATTTAATATCCATTTGAATACAATATTTTGAATTTAGAGTTTAGAAATTTTTTATTCACTAACTTAAAAAAAGAGAATATTGGATGCCAATTTTAGATTTCAAGCTTAACATCAAACTTCTCCTCCAGAAGCTTTTAATTTTTTTTTCTTTATGACTTAAGCTTTTTCAATTTTTCTTTTTAACCTTTTATTACAATTACTATATCTAGTTAAGCTTTCATTTTTAAAATTTTGAATACCAATTCTTTCCCAAGTTAAATTCTAAATTATCTCCTAACTCAATTCATAAGATTCTAATTCAAAAATAGCGGCGACAGTCAGACGATGCTAATTTGAGGACAATGATGATGGTCCGACGGTGGCTCGGTGTTGATTGGGTGACGATGGTACGGTGGTGACGGTATTCTCAAGACAGTAGTCAAGCACGATGGCAACCTTCTGATAATATTCGAGCTCGAGAATCTTCATCAGCTTGGAGCTCCTTTTAATGTTAACCTGATCCAGCCCTCACTTTATTAAGAATTTGTGTATGTTTCTATATTTTATGAGCAAAATTCTCTCTAAATACTGCTTGAATCCCGACCACTCATTCCATCAGATTGCCCAAAGTGATTCATTTGATAGGATGATGCTTTATGTGTATTTGAGGGCCTTAATAATATCAAAATTAAGTAATTTATGACTTGTTTGATTCATTCTATTAAGATGATTGATTTAATTATAATGATGGTTTTATGAATCTTACCAGACTAATCGGTTCCATCGATTCAACCGCGAAACTGGGTCCAGAGCTTGTTCCGATTCGACTAAAACCCATATGGCATACCAAACCGTTCAAATAAAGGACGAACCCGCGGTTCGACCTCTGAACCGAAGAGGGAAGGGGGTTAGAATATTTATTTATTTTTTTGAATAAAATCAACTGCTTATGAATATTCTTTATTTATTTATATTTATATTATTATTATATTATTTAGATAATGTTTAATTATTTTTTAAATTTATTAGTTATTACGTCATCCAGTTCAACCCCGGTTAAACAAAGGAATCTTGAATCTTTCCATCCCTCAGTCTGATGTCTGATCTGATTTTCAAAACTTTAATTATAAACTTGTCAGATTTGAGATCATTTTATATGTCCCAAAACTTCTTATTATGGTTCAAATATAAGATATGGGATCATTTGGACTCAAATCAAATTATTTTTTATGTCATTTGTTTTGCTGGAATTGGAGTGTATGTAATTCTTTATTCAATTGCATCGAGATTAGTTCCTGATCAATATCAATAAATTATCCCAAAAATATTTAGAAAACATTTGGTTTAAAATTATAAGAATAGGAATTCCAATTGATTTTTGGGGCACGTACTTACATATCACCCAATTCCTATATATTTATATCAATCACCTAAAATTTACCCTTTACATTTATATCACCCAAATCTCTCATTTAACATTCACAACACTATTTTAACTTTAGTTTGTTCCGTTCGGCGGTCAATAACCGCTAGGGGTGTAAACGAGCCGAACACGAGCGAGTGTTCGGCTACGTTTTATTTGACGGCGAGCTAAAAAAATGTGTTAGTGTTCGGCTCGTTTGTTTAAAGAGCTGAACAAGAGCTGTTAACAAACAAAGAGTCATTTTAACAATCCTAATCATGTAGCCATAAGACAATAAAATTTTGAGCAAAATTTAAAAATTATTATTTATATTAAAACATCATTTGAACCTAATTTAATAAATTTTATTTTATTTTCATAATCAATATTTTAATTGATTATAAATCTTTGTAGCATTGTAGTCAATTAAATTTTTTTAAAATACTAATATATATATATACACTTAATGAGTAGTATTTCGAGCCAAAACGAGCCGAACACAAACGAACACATATTAGTTCGTGTTCGGCTTGTTAACTTATCGAACCAAATTAACGAGTCGAACACGAGCTTCTTAACGAGCCGAACACGAGCTATTCAGGAACAAGGAGCCGTCTTGACAGCCCTAATAACCGCCAGCCAAATCATCCGTTGATAATTTGTATGACGAAGTGATTAACTAAACACACCGGATGAAATATTTTTTCCTTCACTCGCAAGGTGAACTTCTAGCTGTAAACACCCAACCCCAAGCATTTTCTGAGAAGAGTACACTAGCACATATTGTCCCCTTGCCCAACTCCGGCATATCTGAAATTCAGAGGACAGGTTTCTCCCTTCTCCAGCAACTAAACCCTAATCCATGGCGGCGCACACCGGCCGATTCACGGACGTCTGCGAATCGGAAACTCTAATAGAGATCGTCTCCCCCTCCCCACTCGATCTCATCCGCTACGTTAATTTCGTTCGCGACCCCTCCGCCGGCGCTATTGCAACATTTGAGGGCACCACCCGCGACACCTTCGACGGGCGTCGAGTCGTGGAGCTCCGGTACGAGGCTTACATCACCATGGCCACTCGCCAGCTCGCCGGCGTCTGCTCCGCAGCCCGCGCCGCATGGTCACTCTGCCGCATCGCAGTCGCCCACCGCCTCGGCACTGTTCCCGTCGGCGAGGCGAGCGTCTTCATTGCTACCTCCGCCGTTCACCGCGCCGACGCCATGGAGGCGTGTCGATTCATCATCGACGAGATCAAGGCCTCGGTGCCGATCTGGAAGAAGGAGGTTTATGAAAACGGTGAGGTGTGGAAGGAAAACAAGGAGTTTCTTGAACGCCGGCTGGTGCCGGAAGCCGAGCCGGCGGCGCAGGGTAGGGAGGCGGGGGGCAGGACGTCGTGCTGCTGCGGGAGCAAGATAAGGGCACAGGGTGATGCTAGCGAGGAGGCGGTGGCGGATGGGTTTTGACGGTTTGTAGAAATTACAATCGGTAGGTTGTGTGCAAATGTGATCTCTTGCTGTTAATAAAAAACCTTGATCGATGTTTTAAATTCGGAACTACTGGAATAGAGGCAATAGAGCAACAGTTTTCTACAGTATCAGGCCGAAGGTCTCCATGACTCGTTAAACATGCACTGAATTCTGTGGAGGTAACTCGAGCTTGAGATTACAAACCTTTATTATCAAATTTATTACATGTTTCATCATCTTTTTTACCTAGTAAAACGCGTTTGGTATTCCACATTCTCTTGTGGACATAATTTTACTTGTTTTACATCTGAATGCAACATAAGACCAGGGAAGACTTCTACATTTACAGATTTAAATAAGTCAATTTTATGTAAATATACAGAATTTTTATAGTATTGTTTGTTTTTTCCATGATGAATCAATGATTAGCTCTCTCTTTGCGCTACTTGTGTGATCATGAAATTGAGATAATAGTGATAACTTAGAAGAGTGACCAATAAGATTCAGAAACAGCAGCAGAGAAGGAAACCCGGAGCTCCTCCTCTTAGACAAATTAGAATGGAAGAGAAAGTGTTTTAAAGGAAGCAAGTCCAGGAGCTGGCTAAAAGCAGACAGAGGAGAATCATTCGATCGCCGTTGCGGTCTAAGATGTCTAAAATGCAGCGGAGACAAATGAAGTTAAGACTTAGAGATTGGAGTTGGAAGGATGGGGAAGAGATGATACAGAGATGAAAATGAGAGAGTAATCGGGACGTGGAATAAATAATATGATTTTTTGAGTTTGAAATATGTAATTACAGTTGTTTTGAGTGTTATGCATGTAAAAACCCCTTAAACGTACTAAAACTAGATTGAATGAGCTTGTTAGTACTAGAAATTTCATAGTGTTAAAGTGGTATTTTATATTTTAATTTTTTTATGAAGATTACACAGATAAAGATAGAAAAGATAATATAAAAGTAATTAGAGTTCCCACGTGAAAAGCTTGAAAAAAAAATCATGAGACGTGACCAATTTAAAATGAGCTACTATAGTCATTGTCTTTACAAAAAAAATATTCTCCTTAATTAGAGAAAGCAATGTTTCAAAGTACGATCTCATCTCATCTGGATGTAGTTGTTAAATTAGAGAAGTAGTGAAGGGTAAGGATGTCGTTTAAGGACGACAATCGAATGATAATAATCAGGTGATCATGATTAAAAAATGGTGGTCAAGTAATAATATTTGGATGATGACAATTAGATAATGATGAACATACAACATTAGTCAGATGATGGTGTTCACAGTTTTAGCCAAGTAAAGATGAATAGGTAATGATATTCGAATGACAACCGTCAAGTGATGATAGACAATTCAAAGATTTATGTATCGTTTCATCGGGGTCTTAGTTGAACTATTTATGTTTCCAACATGACCTCAAATTGGTTTTGGCTAACCAAATATAGTATAGGCAATCACCCTATTAGCACAAACCATCTTCAATCAGTTTCTTGCACGCCAATCATCATGTAAACCAACCATCATCCTCATGACGAAATTCTTTGGCTAAGATTCAAACTATTTAAACCTACTATGATCAATAATTTAGGTCTCTATCATAAGTGAAATTGTTACCAATATGCTAGGGCATTAAATTGGTTAGTGGAGATCAACTCATAATAACTAACATAGTGATGCGTGCTAGAATATTCACTGAGGTAGAGTAGTAGATTATCGTTTTAGCGTTGTATGAGAATTCAACGCACAGTCAGATGAAAGAAAACTATCGGTAGATACATTAGAAGTTTTTACGTGCAAAATCCATAGAGGAAAAAATTAAGGGGCTTGACCCAGTTGAAGAAATCTATTATGAAATAGAGATTACTCGTATAGTTCCTTGTCCCGCATGCGAGAAAAAGTTATTTTTCAGAGCTACAACATAGGTGCACGAATTAACTTTGTTGTAAGAAGTGGGCGGCGGTTAATGATTATCGACGACAACCAACGAGTAATGGTCGACAATTGTCGATCGCTGGTGGTTAACAACGGTTGGCGACTAGGTGATGCTGGACTTCAACACATTCTCTAAGATTTATGCTCTTTTTCATGTTTCAAGCTCTTATCCCTTATGAGAAGAGTGAAACTTTATTTATAGTTTCAATTGCAATTAATGAAAGAATACAGACCACTTTGATCGGACAACTCGTAAAGATTCCATTAATTAGATCGTGTTTGATGGACATTTGAGAGCCTTAATGATGTCAAAATTGAGCGATCTTGGGCTTGTTGGATTCATTTTGTGAAGACGCTCGATTCGACCATGAGCTCATCGGATTCGACATCCGTTTGAACTTTCAAATATGCCTGGAAAGATACAAAAGCAATTTAATGCTTGATCTGAGCTTGATTTGACTTGAATTGAACCAATTTTAATATCATTGAGTTTGTCTGTTGAGTTGGTCAGTTTGACTGTTATGTTTGCTTAAATTGAAGCTCTGAATGACTTTCAATCAAAGCCTGAACCTGTTAGTTGAACCTTTAAAATTGGGACTTGTTGGCAAATTTACTTACAGTCATCTTAAGATGGATTTAATTCGAAAGGTGTTTGATAATCTTAAATTGTTGGATGATTGGAAGGTTGGTGCTTTGAATGGTCGCCATATTATTATTAACTTGATCGTGAAAAGGATTACACTAGATTATTTGGTAATTATGTCAGGTTTGTGGAGAATTCTCAAATGAAAATTTTAGAATGGACTTTGGATTTTGATCTTGCTGCTGAACTTCCTAGTATTTCGGTTTGGTTAACATTCTCTGGTTTAAGGTTGGATTATTTTAATCATCAAGTGCTTTATTTTTTGGTTGCAAGCTTTGGGAAACCTATGAAGGTTGATATGGCTATACATAATTTTGGTAGGCCTTCGGCTGCAAGTGGCTGAGTAGGTTTGATTGAGTTCTCAAAATAACGATTATTGGTAGAAAGTAGAAGCTGAATTTACACCTAAATATTGTAATAAATATAAAATTTTCAGTCATATGGTTGATAATTGTTTCATTACTCATCCGGAGCTGAGAATACGAAGAAATAATGGTGGGTCAGAGAATAGGGCTGGCAAAACGACTCGTTGTTCGCGAACAACTCGTGTTCGACTCGTTAATTTTGTTTGATAAGTTAACGAGCCAAACACGAACAAATATGTGTTCCTTCGTGTTTGACTCGAAATACTACTCATCAAATTTATATATATATATATATAGAGTAGTATTTTAAAAAAATCTAATTGACTACAAGCTACAAAGATTTATAACCAATTAAAATATTGATTAAAAAAATAGAATAAAAATTATTAAATTAGATTCAAATGATGTTTTAATATAAATAATAATTTTTAAATCTTGCTCAAACCCTTATCGTCTTATGGCTACGTGATTAGGGTTGTTAAAAGGACTCTTTGTTCGTGAACAACTCGTGTTCGGCTTGTTAAGCAAAAGAGCTGAACACGAACACATGTTTTGAGTTCGAATTCTCGCTCGTGTTCGACTCGTTTACACTCCTACCAGGGAAAGGTAAAGAAAGAAGTAATAATTCTCAACTTAATGTGGTTGGGATTGTCCATGCTAGAAACTATCTTAGAGAAAATGAAGTGGAACAAATTCTACCTAGTAATGAACAAGGTCAGAAAAAATGTGCCACATGAAGTTTTGCATGTGGGGATGAGCTGTAGATGTTCAGTATGAGATTGTAAATAGGGAAAATATTATTCAGAAGGAGAGGGGAATGATAGGTGATCATGAGGAAGAAATTGAAGAGATTAATATTAGAGAAGAGGAACTCATTGCTGCTTAGCAAGTGTTGGAAGGGGAACGGCAGATCCAGCGTTCCAAGAGAAAAAAAGGAAGGCTAAGTAGAGAACTTCATTATATGAATTCAAATGTGTTGGAAATCACCAAAAGATCAAGTACTGATATTTTAGCAAATATTAGGGTCTGTTTGACACAGATGCAGCTTCCCAGCTTTTCAGCTTCAGCTGTGCTGCCCCAGGAAGCTGCTGCGGAGAAGCAATTGCGGGGAAACTGGTTGTCTGTTTGGTGCAGCTGTTTCTGAAAAATGACAATTCTGTCATTGTTTGTTAAAATATTTAAAAGAGGAATGTAACATTGAAATTTTTTAAACTCCAAAAACAAAATTTATTATGTAATAAATTAGTAAAACTTCAACTTGTTAATTATGTATTAATTATATTATTGGGTAATTAGTTATTAATAATTATGTAATAAATTTATAGGATTGATTATTATATTTTAGAATATTTACTTATTAGATAGGTGAGAATATGAAATAAAACACTTGTTATAGGAATATAGTTATATTCGGTGGCACGATTGTTTTAAAAATATATTTCCATTTAGGATTTAACATATAAATAAACTAATCTATTTAACTATTTTTTATCAATTATCGACGGTAACTTAAAGAAAACCAATTAAAGGGATGTGTGCCCAATTATTTTTCAACAAGTTTAAATACACTGTCATTCATAACTGATATAACACATAAAAAGTTATGAATATCAATATTTGATGGTCAAACACAAATACATTAACTTTTCATTTAGGTCATGGATATGTAAACATAAATATTGCTAAAAAAAATTAAACTGCGAGTTAAAGTACTCATTTCTGCTATATATCACGACAAAAATTCATCATTTACATAACAAAAGATTTCATGGGGATGTATGACTTATGTTAATCCCAAACTTAAACGATAATAGTGTAGAATTACATAAACACATCTCAAGTAACCGATAGCATCAGGAGCACAAAAAAAATTCTAAAACTATTACAATCACAATTAATAAGATAATTATATTATTCTTAACATTAACACGATGTAGCTCCCGTGCTCAAGTGATGTTCTCCATTCTCGATCAACATCATCTGAGAAATCAATCGAACCGTCTGCCCAATGGAAGAATATGCACTGTTCGGCGATGCTCCGTGGGCAGGTATAGAACTTCCTCCTGTAGCTGTGATGTTGGCGTGACGTCAGCAGTGAGGGTTCAAGGCCACAGTAACAGTGTTCTTCGGGATGTCCCGAAAATCCGTAAGCTCATCTTGTCCTGAGTGCAACAAAAGAGGAAATAACATTCCGGTTGTAACAAGATCTTTATTTGTAAATGACCCATTTTATTAGTACGACAGAGATATACATTGAAGTATGCATTTCGATTTACAGCGACTAAATAAAATAAATTAAATAAACCAATAAAGACAAAGGATTTAATGTGGTTCGGTCA